CCTATTTTCTCTTGCATCCTCAGATGGTCAAAGCTTTTTCAGACGTGCTTTCTTCTGCAGTCTGCTCCTTGACAAGAGAACACTAAACTCGACCAGGGCTGTCATACAGACTCTGTCTCCGTTTGAAGACCCAAGAGCGCTTGAAAATGAATTTAAGGTCCCCAGATTTGCAGTTGTCTCCTCATTGCTGAGGCAGGGTCAGGAACGTGTTAAACTCTGAAGCTGGTGAGGTTTAGGATGACACATGCTTTTGTGATTAGAAGGAGAACACTGAGGGCAAAAGAAAGCAAGCTTAGCGTAGTGGCTTTCTTTGATTGCAGAAGCAAGAAGGTGGAAGCAATGTTCCAAGTCATATCACCTATGCTATTCATAGCCTCTTTTAATTCGGGTGTTGTAATAGTCTAAAACATTTCATACCATCCATTAGATGCCTGAGGACTCAGTTTGTCTTTCACTTGACAAAAGAAAAGCATTTTCTATGAAAATGCATCACAAATGTACAAACGGTAAAGAACAGACAGCTAAAACAATGGTACAGTTACATCCTCTGGACATCTTGTTACATGTCTTCAGCAGCTCCTGCCACTGAAGTGTCTATTTTTAGGTTTTGTTGCTGAGTTCACTTCCACGCTGAACTTGTATCTAGTTCATCTTATTCCCTACCTATACTTTACCAACTGATTCCTTTCCTTGATCCTTCACACAGTTAAGTACACTTGGATCAATCCTTATAGGCCAGGGAAGCAGTTTTTAAGATGCCTCCATTTTACTTGTTAGCCCATGTACACATACCTTCTTTTGATGTTTCCTCATCCTTGTTTTCTTCAAGTCCAATTCAATTTTTTGTTGATGCAACTACACTGATTTCAAAGTAACAGAACAGAAAGTCAGGCTAGTTGTGTGCTCACCTGTAATGTTTTCCTTAAAAAAAAAAAAAATAATCAGATAACCATGGCATGATTTCCTCAGTGCTGTTCAGCATTGCCACCTCCTCCTCCTCCCCCAGGACAGGAGCCAGCTTTCAGAGTTCTTGACATGCATCAGCCTCCTGGTCTTCACTCAAAAACAGGGCACACTGTGTATGTTCCACATCAGATGGCCTCACGTCCTTCAGGACTCATTTATCACAGCCAGCTCTTCATTTCATGCTCTTGCTCACCCATCTGAGCTAGAGCGTGTTATTGCCAAAGCTTTTGCGCTGCAGGAGGAACCCCTGGTTTGGCAAACGTCTGTCCACTTCTAGGCCAACTTCAAAGGATATCACTCGTTATGAACGTATCTCCCTGATAGCCATCACAACAGCTTGCCTAGCAGCACCGACTCCGGCTCAGATCAAGCATCTTTTCATGCCTGCCGTATCATCCTAGCTTGTTGGCTCCTCCCCAACACCTACCCTCCTCCCCAGCTTATCCGGCTATCTAGGTCTGAGCCAGCTCTGCTTTCCCAGAGATGGAAGCAATCAAGCGACAGCACGTATCACATCAGCAATGGCCTTTTCCTCCATATAAATAAACCCTTTTCAATGTACCATAATTCAGAAAATATTAATAGCAAGAAATCAATAGGATTGGAAAAAGAGACAGTCAAGTGGGAATACAGTCTTACCAACTTTCCCTGCTCTCTTTCATTCCTTTCTTTAGCAAATTGTCGAAGGTGGGTAGCTGGACTCTGGTTGGTAGAGGTTGTTTCTGTTCCTTTTGTTTTCTTGTAGTAAAACAGTCTTTGGAAAAGAAAATGAAAAAATATGAAGGGCAAATACAGCAGAGCTTCTTTTCATAATCTGTTCTACAAGGTTATGTCTGTATTTCAGCCTTAGAGCTTTGAGTGCCACTCAAACTAGTATCAGCAGATATATTGATAGCTGTATAAGTGCTCAGACAGGTAGCGGCACAAATACTTACTCAGGGCTTGGCTGGATTTTGCCAAGCAGAGCATGTCCTGTAGCTTTGTTGCTATCAGCGTCTGAGCCCACTTGTTTAGAGCTACCTGGACTGTGTCCACACCAGCTTCGTGACTCTAGACTCAAGTATATAGCTATAGCCTGTACTAATTCACTTAAAGACAGGAAACTCCTACTTCTGATCTTGCTCACCTGGGCATGTTCTTGCCAGTTCGAACAGTTCTTACCTCATCTAGCTTCGGTACTGATGAGAGGGATGCTGATAGTAAATCCAGAGCGACGAGTAGATGGTCATCAGAGGCTTGACTCAGTGGAGAGCAGTTCAGAGGAAGAACCAAGCAGAGGAAAAGTTCAGAGATCCAAAGAGGAGCTCTCATGGTTGTGCTGCTGCGTGGGCCCACATCCTGCTCTCCACATTGCTCTGGTCCCATGCTCACCCACCACTTCCCTCACTATGACCCTGGCCCTCAGCTGCCTCCTTGGCTAGCTGATTCTCCTTATTATACCAGGAGACAATTAACCTGAGGAGGTGGGACAGAGGAGAAGGAGACAAAAGGGGTTATTTTCCCCTTCTTAGAGAGCTGAGGGAGGGACCACACATCCCACAGTTAGGGTAGATGGGGGAACTGCCTCCTTCCCAGCACCAATAAACTGTTCATCTGGTAAGCCATCTCATAACATTCACCCTTAAACTTCCAGAAGCATGCTGTAGAGGAGCCTGTCTTTCTCCACTGGCTGCAGATCAGCCTCACTAAATCTGGAGATATCTCTGTGCCCAGGCCTGAACATTGATCCTGTGGCTTCCCAAAGGAGACAGGAGCAGGGGACCTTCTGTCCACCCAGCAGGACATCTTCAGCATTCACCACAACTACCTTTGATCGTGGCAATAGTCATTCAGTCGCTTTCTTCTGCTCCCAGATTTCTTTCCCTTATCCCTTTTCTTCTTGCATATCTTCAGCTAGAAAATATTTTTCTAAATGAAACAGCCCTTCCCCTGATTTGGAAATTTAGCAGGTTGTCCTCTGTGCATAATGCAGAGTCTGTTCAGGCCACGCTATGGCAGTGTACAAAGACATGGAAGAGTCGCGTTGGCTCATCTCTTCAGTAGCAGCCCTGCTACCAATACCTTTAAGCAATAGCGTTCTGATGGGAACTGCTCAGAAAAGCAGTCCTTTGAGCTTTACTGCAGTGAAGCAAAAGTTGAGTGGGAAACTGCCCGAGGGAAACGGATCTTGTTTCTAGATCTGAATCTGGGAAGCAAGCCTCCTGGGTCCTCCTCTGGTTTCCAAACGAGCCCTGGGAAAGCATCGCCACATCTGGCTATTCTGAGGTTCATTTGATCTTAGTAAGGCAGACAAGGCGAAATACAAATGCATAAGTGTTAATATTAGTTGTGCCATACTTAAAAATAGGTGCTGGTGAAGATGGGAACCACTTGACTTCTGTGGAAGCTGAAACATGAATGAGGGTAACATCTCAGGCAACATTTTGGGTCATATATTCAGGAAGAGAGCACATGCAGCTGCTTTTCAAAAGCCATGCAGATGATCTTGTTTCCTCCTGAATACTTTCTCACTGGTGGCCTTGACCAATTCCTTTTGCATAGCACGAGTCACACATGGCAGATGCAGGGGAGGCGATAAATTGCTTTCCTGAGCAGGGCCTCTGCGCTTACTTTGGATAGTGTGCAATCCCGCTGTGTACTTTCTGAAACCAAATTTGCTTGGCACTTGGTGAGTGATTTTTGGAACCTGGTCGAAGCATGGAAAAAAAATACTGAATAACAGATCTTAAATATAAGCTGGCCAAACCTTTGACAGAATCTTTTTTGTCTTTGCGGGAGACCTCTGGAATTAGGACTTGGAGCACAGTAGAAAATACATCAGCAGAGCAAGGAGGATGCATTGCTAAATTAGTCTGAGATATGCCGATAAAGGACAATTTCTATACTTTTTGAAGGTCGAAGGCCAGAGCAGAGCTGTATAGGATTTTTCATGCAAACCGACAGTCCTAGGCTTTTGTTCACATATGCTGCCACCTATATGTCAGTCACTAACTTTGAAGATTAAAACATACCATGTTACAAAAGCAGTTTATCATATTTTCTCCTCTTTTCCATTCTTAAATTTGACATACGCTATCAGACAATACGATTAGTACTTCCCAAGTATGTGGAAAATACTTCGTTCTGAAATTGAAAAAAAAAAACCCAAAGCCAATTTACAAGTTAATTTTTAAAATACATTTTCCTCTCTTCTTACAAGGTAGTAATAGTTCGTAAAACACTGGGAACATCTTAACTTTATCAACCACTGCAAACTAAAAAATGCAAAGTTTCAGACCACCCACACAGACTGTATTTTTCATGCTTCTGTATTTGCATACCAGAAAGACTTTCATTTTTCTCTCTCAAAATACATGTGTAAAATCAGTCACAAAGCAGAACTTACTGCAAGACTTTAAACTGGCTTAGATGCCCTTCTTGCCAAGGTTATCAAACCATGGGAAACTCGGGGAGCTATGATTTTTTTATTACAGCATTTGGGGGGTTGTTTATTCTTTTGTTGTTGTTGTTCCTCAAGGGAAGTTGATTTCCTAAAGGAATATGACCAGCTGCAACAAAATACCAGGAAACCACTGACCAAGCAGTGCATATAAAAATTTAAGTGAACGAATTAAAAACAATACCGGCTAATTAAAAAGTACCAATGGGAAGTCCAAACATTTGAAAATTCAATTACAAAAATCTCTGGCACCCTTCTGACAGGAATAAAGTTGGCATTTGCAGAACAGCAGCTTTCTCACCTGTCTCATTGAGATCCCAGGATCCCACGCTGAATGGGTTGTTTTTGTACATTGCAGTGTTGTTAATTAATGCTGAAACACTAACAATAGACCATTGTGTGCATCCAGGCACTTTTTATGAGCACAGGGTTTTTTTCCTGGCTTCCTGCAAATAAATTAAGGCTTAAGCTCAGATCCACTGTCAACCTGGCATTCCAGTTTATATTAAGTTTCTATTAATTCATACCTTTTGTGTTCTCCTCTTGTCATTTTCAGAGCCTACCTCCTCACTCAAAGGCAACAAGTATTTCGCAGATGCATGCTGGGCAAGTAAATGCCCTGCAAGGTGAGCTCCAGGGGAGACATGAGGAGGTATTCATCAAGGAGAAGCTAAGAGAAATGGAGGAACTCGACATCAAGAAAACTCTCCAGGATCAGATCGGCCAGTGTTTCATCGAGTGCCGGTGAGCAGAGATAAACACTTGCCCCTTAATAAGTCCATTTGCCCCAAGGAGACGGATTTTGCAGGGGTGATCCCAGTCCCAGTTGCAGAGCTAAGTTCCTGAGCAGCAGGACTCCTAACTGGGGAAACCAGAATAGCGCATCGCTCCTTGCATAGCCCGGCAGGGATCAGAGGTGCGCCTTGAAGGACCGACTGCAGAATCAGGTCCACATGCATTAAAGCGGAGACACGTTCAGTTTGCACATTAGCTTGGGCTCCAGCTTTGTAGTTATAAGAAGCACCCTTAAAGTTTAGGAACACTGACTTTTTTCCCCCTGTCTGAACACGTAAGGTTTAAGAGAGAGAATGCAGTCTTCCATGAGAAAGAAGTATAATTATTTGCTATAGCAAATCACATCACGTCACCAGTACTGCAGTCCAGGTGCCTGCTGCTGGTGTTACCCAGCAGCCCACACGAATCTGAAATACTTTTGTACTTGAGGCCTGACCTTCAAGACAGTCCCCCAAATGTAACTTTACTTAAGTAGTGCTGCTGATCTCAGTGAAACTTCACGTCTCAGTAGAGTTAAGCACATACTTACACATTTTTAAACTGAGTGCTGACACCTATAGTTCTCTCAGGAAGTTTACTTTAGCTGAAAAAAATTTTGAGACTGGCGATTCTAATATGGCAGTACTGTAAAGACTCATACTAAGGAATATAGGCTGGTTTTATGATACTGGTAATTTTTTCCAGGATTTACCCAATCCAGTGGGTTTGTATACAAAAGTAAGTTGGGAAGCAGCACCCGAAAGTCCCAGGATTTAGCACCAAGGTTTCAGCTGCTCTGCAAAAACACTTCCAGGAGTTTTGTATCTTGAGCTGCTCGGTGACGTTTCAGGGCTCGTATTCGTCTTGTGGACTAGTGTCACATCCGTTAATCATTCAGTGGTTTTTCAGTTTACTGGATGTGCCTTCAGCATTGCAGTTTCCAGTTAGAAACACAAATGCATTCTGATGAAATCCTATTATTTATTCCTTGACTACTTTGATCAGGTTTTGATAGCTCTGCGACAGTGTAGTGTTTGTTAACAAAAAAAGCAATTGTAAAAATAGCACTCTCACAGGTCTGCCACCATCTATTTCTCTTCTTGTACTTTTGCCTCTTATAAACACTCGAGACTCTAGCATATTTTTTACCCCATCTAGCTCTCCTTTAGAAAGGACTGCTGGTTTTACAAACCTCAGTTATTACAAAGCACTTCCCCATTCCCTAAATCAACCCGGTTCCTAGGGCCTGGTCTCTACGCTTCTTGAGCTGCCATTTCCTGCCGCTCCCCACAACTCCCAGCATGTTCTGAGGTACAGAAAGATCTTATTTCCTTTGCTTAATATTACCCATCTAACGGTAATTCTCTAACATAGGTCAATCGTGTCCAATTAACTTGACTCTAGAGCTTGAGGAGAGCTAACTGAAATACTGTGTGAACCAATAACAACGTTTCTATAGGAGATTAGCAGAGAACAGTCAGTCTCCCAGAGAATAAGGCTGAGCCATAAACCTCTTTAAAGGCAGTTATGAGACGTTATTAAAAGTAAAATCCATTCCATGGAGACACTTAACAGCAGAGCCAACCGAGAGCCTAACCAATCCAAAGGATCATTTGGAGGAAGCCGAAGCTGTCTTTCGATCAGGGAAGGTGGAGAGAAATGGCTGAATGTGCAGTTCATCAAAACCCTTGCCACCTCGTGTATAAGCAACCTCAGTCTCACATATCTATGAAATGCTCTGAAGATGTAAGGTGGAGTGTAAATGCTGAGCTTTCTTATTCAGGAGCCCTTATAAGTGAAATGGGACCTTATTGCTACATTTATATTCCAGATGTGCCCAGGGGCCCAACTTTAGGTGAGACTTCAAGGCTACAGGCAGACATAGTCAGTATTGCAGCATATAAATATGTGATTAAACAAGTTATAAGGAGTTCTTTAGCTAACCTTTAAGTTGTCTGGTCTAGTCAGGTTCAGTAGTCTTGAATCTCATCTAGACTTGAGGATTAACAAAGATTAAAGCAGATATTTGAATATAAGCACCACATTAACTCATCTTAGATAGCTTTATATGTATGCTTTTCCTGAGCAAGTGATTGTATTAAATGGGACTAAGATACACCTCCACACACAGTTCATCAGTGACACCACTGCTGAGAGTCAAGCCTTTAGCCAGACATGTTGTTCCGCTGCAGCTGAGAGAGACTGAGAAAACATGTTCCTTCCAACCTTCTAGTATAACCAGAGCAAGCTGCTTTTCAACCCACCCATCTGAAACAATCCGATATTAAAAAAATATAACCAAAAAGCAGTTTTAAGTTAAAATCAGGCCATTTTGGTAGAGCACAGTTAAAGAGATGCTGCTTATGCAGTTCTGTGGTGTGCCCGAGTGCAGGGTCACCTCGATGGCAGAGGGACCGTGACAGACCTGGTGCAGGCAGAGCAGTGTGTTTGATCATACTCCCTGTTACTCTCTTTTAAATTAACTGTCCATCATGATCTCTGAAAATCAGTAAGGCATGTTTCAGGCAAGACTAGACAGATCTCTTCAATAAAATAAATATATATTCTGGTGATTTAGCAGTGTGGCAGATAAAGTTCTGCCCCCAGTGAAGCCAGTGGGAGAGCTGCCATCAGCTTCAAAGGCTGGTCATCACCCAATAATTTAGTTCATTTGAGTCTGGCTGAGGGAGGCAGTGATTTACAGGACTGAGTGGGGTTTGAATGAGCTGCCTGCCATCCTGCTCTTCACAGGAAGCCTCTATTTAAGTGACCAAAATAATTTTCCCTGCAGACATATTCACTGGCATCCAAAATTGGTAAAAAAAAATCTGCAAATTTCTATACACAGGGAGCATGTGTGTCATGCAGAGCCAAGCTTTCCGTGCGGTGCGTGCCAGAGGCACTGCAGAACTCGCAGGAGTTGTGTCTTGCTCCTGCCCAGCCTGCTGAGCAGTAGCCAGATCTGATGTATCAAAGTTTACATTAATTATTACCTGCCAGGATATATTTTTGCTCTCCGCTAAGCCAGTCTTCAAGATCAACACCTAAAAGTAGCTTATAAATTATTCTTTAACTAGGCTTTTTGACAGAATTTACCATTGTCCATAGTCTATTAAATAAACAGATAGTTAAAAGGGAACAAAGATTCTTTTGAATAAGTTTTGCTGTATGTACTGAAAAAACAAACCCAAACTTCCGTATTTTATCCTTCAATTGGAAAAGGATGTGATTGGAAATACAATTAGCAGGTATTGTCTTTCAGCACAGCTACTATTAGATTACAAAAGCAATGAACACATATTAAATTTCTCCACTTGTAAGGACCGCTATAAATATTTACCACTTTCTTTGCACAGGGGAACAGGCATAGCTTCAGTCATTTCAAGACCCAAGACAGTTTCTTATAAAAATAGGTTCTAGAAAAGCAAAGCAAAAGCCAAAGGAATAGATTAAACAAAAATGTTCCAGTTGCTTATAGCAATCCCACTGCAGAGAAGACAAAATATTTTTAATACAACACTGTGCGTTTCATAGCCTTACCATCCATCGTTCTGTTTATCTGTGTTGACTTCCATGGAGCTGTTCTTATTTGACTTGCAGATTATTCACATAAAGCTTTCTAGATTTCTGTTTGGCCTTGTCCCTACGCACCGTACTAGAAGAGAGAATTTTTTTTTTTTGAATGCTTTTTTATGAAAGCATCGTGTGGTATACCTATAAGCCCCCCTTTTTTTCAAGATAGCTATATAATTAGTAGAGCAGGAGTACAAATGTTCCAAAATTAACAGTTGCTGTGATTATATACAACTGAGTCTGGATTTTAATCACTTGACTCCCACAGACTCCATCCATTACATTAATAACAGTGTTTCATATTAAGATAGAGCAATTGCATAGCTGGAGTTTTAGTTTCAATTTCCTGTACTATTCCAGACCAAAACCATTTTTCTCTAATTTCACATCTAGGGTTTTGCACTGCATGTGCAAAAACTGTTGTCGTCTTCTCCACTCTTTACCCTCTGTACATACCAACAGTTCCCAAATTATGAATCTTCCTTGGAATCATCCCTAAAATAAGTTTTTAAAAAAAAGGGATGGAGAGAGATGAGAGAAGGGTCCCCTTATTATACAGAGAAATATAGTAGTGTCTTTGTCAAAGAAAAGTCTTCTCCGACAGAAATCAATACAAAGGATAAGAAATCAAGATGAGATTTTTATTACCAGAGATAGCCTCAAGAATCACAGGGGAGAGCCTAATACACAGGCTTTGCCGTAATGTGCCTTATGCCCTCTAGCTGTAACAAATTATGCTGTGAATTTCTTGGAGGATTTATACGCCGCTGCTCAGGGCTCTGGGGAGCATTTCATCAGTGGCATTGCTGACCTAATAACAGGGGATCTAAGTAATAGCAACTTTTATGTACGTTATGTGTTATTCCCACAGATTTGGGGATTGGGTTTTTTTTTTTTCTAGAGGAAGGAGGAGGCGAGGGGTAAATGTGCTTTCATAATAGGTTTACACTTTACTGATTAGTTTTGAATGATCTTCTTGCTCTGCCTGCTGACTTGAGTACTGTCAGAAAAAGAATTGGCCAAGCATCATGGTGAGTGAATGAGACTCCTTCTGAAGCGGGGGGGGTCCTGCGCTTTATTTATTCATTTGGAACATTCCTGACAGCCAGCCCAGGCTTTGATGCAGAGGAAAGGAGAAAGAAATAAGAAGTGATCATGTTATATTTCCCTTTTTCACAAGATTGTTTTGTTGAGCTGAGTTTACTGCCAATACGCCTGTTCACGGGGCTCCCTAGGTAGCAGGGGGTGGGGAAGGAGGAGGAAGATGAATGGAGAGAGAGGTTTTGCACTGAAACTCCACAGAATAGGGAAAGTATTCATTTGTGTCAGGCACTGCCCGTATCGCATTTCACACTCTGTACACACTGCTTTTTATGAAGTTAACGTTAACACGCGTG